TCGAAATGAGACTGCGACCATACCAGAAGCCACAACATCTTGGTCTTCTTATCTTAAATTAGCTTAAGTTTATCCTATACATTTGAACACAGTCCACTAAAAAACAAAAAAATATAACAATATACAGGAAAATCAGATTAAAGCGGTGATTAGTCAAAAGTATTATAAAGCATTTATTTATATGTAATCGCAATTTTTTTATAATTTAATAGTAAAAGCTTTATAATTACGGATAAATTCGGAAAAACACTTAATGAGAATCTACTAGGGGGCACTAACATACACATAGTTTAATGAGAAAAGTAAGCAGTCCATGAGTTTAAAAATGTATTATCTACAAATAACTGGCAGCTAAAAAGTAATTGATAAATAAGGACTTACGGACAATTTATAGACTGCAAAAATTTGGCGGCTTTAGGGCTCAGACTTGAAACTTCCTCTGCTTCGCCTTGATAAGCCAAGGTCAGAAAGTGTCGTAGTATAGAGTCGTACTCGGCCTTAGCAAACTCAATACGGTGGTCACTCTGAATTCCATTTTTGCCAGCTGCCTCTAAGCCCAGAACACCAGCCACTGTCCAGACGAGACTGATAATCAGCTGACCGAACAAAAGGCGAGTAATTATAGCCTCAGTCGATAAGTAAGGAAATGCCAGGCCTTCGCAGGTTGACACCGTCCCGGTGGCAAGAGCATGTTCTTCACAACGTGTGGCGATGGCTGGCTCTACATGACTAATCTTGCTATGCCCCAGACTGTAATTGGTAGAATCATTGAGTGTGCTATGACCGTCTGGCAAATGAACTCGAGGGTCTGAGGTTTTACTGAAAATGTGAAATGAAAGGTACTACTTTTCGTATATAAGTAGAGTTATGAGCCTGCCAGTAAATCAGTTATATGAGATGAGGTGATGAAGGACTATTAGCAGAATTTTTCCATAATGATATGAGTAGAACTGACGTTTCCATTGAATTTCACACAGTCTTGCTCTCCCAAAAGTTGTTCTCATCCAGACAGAAATGGACTGCAGTTTCGACCTCGCCAAGGTCTTATCAATACTCCCAGCGAGAGTCGAACCGTGACATGTGGGCTTGAAACGTTAACCATTCGGCCGCGTTGCCACGAGTGCCGTTGGGTCACAGGGCAGATGCCAATTTCAGGAAGGCTAGGCTTTTTCCCATATCACATCCATTGGTGTGATTGTCGATGAAGTAAACATCCTACCAGTCTTTCCTCACCTTAAACGAAATATGGTGAATATATCTCATATAACTGATTTAAGGGTAATCTCGAAACTCATACATGAGAAATAGGTAATTTGGTCGATTGTTACAGAAAAAATATGTTAGCTTAATCGACAATCACAATAAAGAATGCGATATGCGAAAAGGGATGGCCTTCCTTGACATTCACATCTGCCCTGTGACCCAAGGGCTCTATTCACATCATTGTGGGAAAATTCTACTACCAATCCTTCATCACTTTAGACGAGATAGGGTGAATACATCAAATGGGAGCATCGATTAAACTATCATCGTGTACAAAATTTGTTAAAACCATTTGACAATGTTGCCATTGCATATCACAAAATTAAATATGATCACTTATGCGACTATCGAAAGTTTGCCAATCTAGTTTGCATGAATTTTGCCTATATTCTCAAACGAAAGGTTGATTTAAACAACACAAAAGGATTATTAAAAAATTAAAGGCATTCTTTTTAAAAATAAATAAGTAACTAAATTATGAACCTATTTTCTATCTGAATTTACCTATCAAGGGAAAGTACATGAGCTGTCTCCTGGAGCCTTTGTGAAAATGATGTAATAAAAGGAAATCTCCTGGTATAGCGGCTTTCGTGAAATAGCAAAAGTGGCCAAAGAAGTTTAATAAGGCTAA